GCCGCAGTGTCGCTGGCGATGGCGACGGCAGCTTGTACGCACACTGACATGCCGCAGAAAGGTAAGCTTGAGCTTTTTATGGTGCTCTTGTTTGTTTGTTTTTTTTTACGGTGGGGTGGAGTGGTAGCTTGCTGTTTGAACGGCCCGTGGTGACCAGTTTTTATTGTACTGTTTTACTTTTATGTGGTTGATTGCTTCCTTGCTTCGTTTTTTTTATTGTTTTGCTTATGAGCTGATTGACCCCTCGCCCGCTTCCTTTGAAGGGCACCTGAAGTTGTGCGCGCGTCGCCGTGTTTTTCACGTGTGCTGCTCGCCCAGCCGCGCCGGGAGGCACGCATTGGGCGATACTGCTCCACACTGAGGTTGCGTGAAGTTGCCGCGTTGTTTCTGCTGCATGTTTTTTTTGTTATTCTTGTTTTCGGTATTTGTTTTCCTGCTTTCCGTTGTCGTGCCCCCGGTGCGGTCGCCTTCTTCGGTTTTTTTTTTTGTCGTGGCTGTGACTGTATCGGGTCTCTCTTTTTTTTTTTTTGTCTTCCCCTCTCCCCTTGTAGGAGTTTTTTCGTTGAGGTCGTGTGTGCGTGAGTGTGGGCCCTGCCAAGTTAGCGAGCGCCGTTGACTGTGAAGCGATGACGAAGTACGAACTGAAGCTGCAGTACTTTGACGAGTGGATGATGCGGTGGCGGAAGTTCCAGACGGATTCCGATTGGGAGATTGAGACGAACCGCCAGTGGTGGCGGCGGTGCAACATGGCCCTCTCCGGGGCGTTGCTGGGGGCGCTGGTGCTCTACACCGCGGGGACGGCCACGCTGAAGCGGCAGTACGGCCTCCCCCACTTCTTCGACGTTGGCGTGGATGCGCAGGTGAAGCAGACGGTGCTGCAGACGTTGACCTCGCGCTGGCGGTACACGCCGCAGGGCTACGGCCGCTTGATTTTCACCGGGGTGCCCACCTACCTGCTCTTCGTTTCACTCGAGCACCACCAGGAGAAGCGGCGCATGCAGCGGTACGTTGAGCAGAACACGGTGTTTGGGGAACAAATGCGTCGCTTTCTCAACACCGGCAAGATTGAGGAATACCTTGCGGTGAACATTAAGGGAACGCTTCCGCCCTCGCAGCAAAGCATTTACGCCTATTAGGAAATCAGGCGAGGCCTGTAGCGACTGTAGGTGGTATGAACAACATGGTGAGCTGGTGGTGAAAACAAACAAAAACGAAATACTAAAAAAAAAGGAAAAAAAAAAGGAAGTAAAAGGGAAAAACAATTCTCGTCTTGTTTTTGTTTTGTTAGCGTTTGTCGAGGTGGGAATGCCTACCAGCTATTGCAGCCGTGTTTGGATTCACAACGACCGCAGGCGTGGGACGCAGGAATTACTCTGACGCAGTTTTTACTCACCTTCTGCCTTTTTTCTGCGGATGCTGTGGTTTGTGTGTCCGTTGCCGTGGCGCGGGCTCGTAGGGGCTGCGTCGGTAGGGTGGGCGCTTGGGGCTGCGCGCGCGGACGTGGCTCTGACGTGTAAGTGGATGGCGGCGTCAGTGGGACGGATAGAAGTAACTGTTTAGGAGTATTGTGGGAGTGTCGTCGCCCGCTGAATGTTTTCTTCGTAGGAATTTTGCCCAGACTCGTCTTTTTTTTTGTTTGTTTGTTTGTTTGTTTTTTCTTGTCGTTGTTCCGTTTTTGCCGCTTGCCCCCGCGGGTGGTGCTGGTGGGTGGTGCCGACCTCTCGCCTGTGCTCTGCCCGTTGCCGCCAAGTACGGCGAGGCTTTTTTCTTCTTCTTCTTCGTTTGTTTCCTTCTCGGTGTCCCGCCGGGGCGGCGAAGGTGGCAGCGTGAGGGGTCCCGGAGTGTGCGCCGCTGCGGCTTGGGCGAAATCCAACAGGGCCACAAGGCGCGAGACGGGCACCGCCGCACTACACCCTCTCCTCACACACACACACACTCGCTCTCTCGCTCGCTCAGACGCGACGCCATCAGGCAGGCAGCACCGAGGCCTGGAGGACGCACGTACTTCGTGACTACACTGCGAGGCGGCGAGGCGGCTTGATACGTCCATTAAAGAGAATCGGAAGAAGCGAGCGAAGGGAAACGAAAAGAACAGGTGGAATTAGATTCACAAGGACCCCCAACTGAGGATGCGGCCAACGGTGGATGCCGTGAGGCCGGTCGTGGACCCCGCCGCCGCCGGGACGCGGGCGAAGGGGACGGACGTCAGCGGCAGCGTCGACGCTGTGGAGCATGGGCGTCCGGCCACGGCGCGGCGTGAGGGCGCAACAAAGCGCGGAGCCTTCCGTGCCCCAGTGCACCCTGCCTACGCAGTCATGGAGCAAGCGGAGGTGAGAAGCGTGGACGACTCTGCGGAGCAGCTTGAGGGGCATAGTATTCAAGTCCAGGTTCGAACGCGCGAAAACGGTCGACGCTCGCCTCTTGTAGCACCCCTCACTCCTCCAATGCACAGTATCTCTGCAGTTTTCTCTAACCCATACGGCAGCGGAATGAATAGCCCTATTATTGCTAGCTCTCCTAGCGTTGCAGTGGCACCTGGAACGCCCACGATGCCGCCAATGCCAAATGCAAACACGTTTCTGCAGGATCTTTTACCCTCCAATGTGGTGCATCGTGCGCTCTACGGCAAATGCCGCTTCATTGAATTCCCTACGCTTGCACGCTTTGATTCCGTGCCACCGCCGCCTCTAGGAGCGAGTTTTCCTCTCTTTGTCGGCCAAGTGCGGTTTGAGACTACACCGGCAGAGCTGATTTGGCTTGTCCGGCGCACATCTGGCGCGACTGCGCTCGCACTGGAAGGTCGAGGGAGTGGCTGTTTTATTATGCACCTGCGGAGTGAATCCGAGCGCGTGTTGGTGCGTCAACTCCACAAGCGCATTCTCTTTGACATTGGTGGGGCCTGGTTTGCCCGCTCCCCCGAGGAGGTCGATAACCTCTGCGAGTACGTGACACTCACGGGCCCGTATCTCTCCAAGCGAGCGAAGCTGCCGCGCGAATCCATGGTGGTGGAGGACATCAAGGTGGGCCCCACAGAGCTGGGCCCCTGCCACCTCGGCGAGCGCGCACGGGGGCTCTCGGCGCACTCGCGGGGCAGTAGTGGCAGTGGCAGTGCCTGGGAGCCGTCTACCACCCTGTGGGGCGTGAACACGCCCGCACCGTTCCTCTGCACGCCGCCGTCATCGCCGGTAACGCCACCGCCGTGAAACGCCGTCCGTAAGCGCGCAAACAGAGGAGATGTATCCAACACGTGTGCCCCGCCAGTCTCGCAGTGAGTGCGTGTCAGGGCAGATCGTAGAAAAGTTCGGTGGGCCCGAAATAGGTAGAGGGGTTAAATGAGTGAGTGGGACTGGGGGACTTCCGTAACGAAAGACAGCGAAAGGAAAGATAATAAGACGCCGAGGATGCGTACTACCTCCCCCTTGAATTTGAAAAAAGGAAAGAAAAAAAAGGGGAGGGGGAAATACTTTGCATACAGAAATGAATGGCGGAAAATAAAGAAAGATTTAAAAAGAAGACTCTGGAAGAATCGAGACGGAGCGACCCCCTCTGTAAGAGAGCCATGAGTGTCTCTCTTACTTTCCTGTTTGTTTTTTTTTCTTTTTGTTTTCGTCTTTTGAGCTGTGAAGTTACATTCTTCTTGGCAAGTCGCTGGAATAACGTATATGGCAACCTGCCGAGAAGGAGCGGTAGTGGTTACACGTATTTGTTTTTCGTCTTGTTGTTCTTGTTGTTGTTTTCTTTTGTTTTCTGTTTTCACTTTTTTCTTCTTTTTTTTAGCTGCTTATTTCTGTTTTTAATGCCTGGCGGACGATGGGCTTGCCCCTGAAAGACCACAATACAGGCGACTTCGGTCTCCAATGTGCCCCCCCGCTGCCTGTATTTGTGTGTCTGTGTGTGTGTGTCTCTTGGGCTGAGGGCAGCTGGTCGTCTATCTACATGTTATTACACACACACATACATACATACATGTATATATGTGTTTGTATTTATAAATATAAATGTATGTCTGTGTGCGTGTATTGCATTCTGCCTTCCTCCCTCACTGTCCACCGCCCGTTAAGCCCTTTCCCTCCCTCCCGGGGCGTTGGGTTGTTGCTCTTTGCTCCCCCCCTCCATGCGTGGAAGCTTCCGCCCATACGAATTTGTGCTGCTTTCCCGTTTGCTTGGGCAAGTAAAGGGGTGTGGGCGCACGCGCGTGGGTCTGTTTGTGTTCTTCTCCATGTTCCGCGATCGACGAGGGAGGCTTGGCTTAATGCATGCAGCAGGTAAACAAACACGGAGAGGCAGAGGGAGCGAGCGATAATGAGAAAGAGCGAGGGGGCGGGGTGTAAAAGTGGAGGGAGAGAGAGCGTAGGAGGAGGAATATAGGTTAACTTCCTGGTTGCTTGCTTGCTTGTGTCTCCTTAGCAAAGGCAACCGCAAGCCGACTTACTTTCCTCTCTCTCTCCCGCAATAAGTAGTTATACATTCATATGGTTATGTAAGCCCCCGCGTGCTGTGTGGGTATGTGGCAAATGCGTGCATACAACACTGTACGCGGGAGGGGGGGCGGGGAGGGCCGACAACGCGGGGTGGGCGGGCGCGAAGGGTGTGCTGCGCCACACCCGTGGGGGGGGGGGGTAGTGAAGATGTGGTTTGTCGACGCCTTTTCTTATTAATTTTTCCTTTCCCCTTTCTTTTTTCTTCGGGGCTTCTCTCAGCTACAGCAGAGCCGGCGGCCGTGTGATGCCACGGAGGTAAAGGGCGGAGGACGCACAACCGCAACCGCATACACGTACCCATCGACACTCGAAAAAAAGTAAAGTACCGCTGCACCCCGAGGAGAAGAGGAAGGAAATATATGCAATGACGATGACGCTGGTGCACCGGGGCTCGTCCGCCTGCCATGCAGAGGCGTTGCGGCTTCTTGTCACGGCGGTCTTTCCGAGTGCATCCATCGCCTTTGCGACCGCGCACTCGTCGCAGACGCCCGTGGGAGGGGCGATGACGGAGGACGCGCTCTTCGCTCGACTGCATAATAGGCTTCGGCAGTTTGAACCAGCCCCACACGTCGCGAAAGGGCATTATGACGAGCAAAAATTGCTGCTGAATGGGTTTCCGGTGCCAGCACACAGTGCCTATCTACAGGCAAGGCATGGTCCCGCCTCCGCACCGTGTTCCCCTGCGCTCGCAGAGGTGTGGCGCCGACTGTACCGCAGGTGGCCTCCACAGCTCATTGCGGGCCGTCAGCTGTGGCGCTGCGACTCGGAAGGCGACTCCTCGCCGGGGATGCCGTGCTGGACGCCCCACGCCGTGGTTTACGTCGGCGGCTTTGAGGCTCCCGACCTCCGCCAGGTCGTGGCGCCGCAGGTCTTCGCGCAGGTGCCGCCCTTTTCCCGCGACACGGAGGTAGATCAAACGGTGGGGGGCGAAACGTTTGACTATCAGCGGCAGCGGGTCCCGAAGTTTGCCGCAAGGGTCGTAGATAGCGCTTTTTTGCTGCGGGAAAAGGGCTGCGCCATACACGACCCTGACCTGCTGGAGATTGCGCTGCCGGTGACGTTCACCTGCCGCAGGACCCCCACAAGAGTCACCCGCAGCGCCACACGGCGTGTCCGCACGTTTATTTCCTTTGCTGGAGCTGAACCGAATCTGCGTGCGCTGCAGTTGGCGGTGGATCCGATGCAGCGAAGGGCGCTGCGTCCCGCCTTTGGGTACTCGATGGCGGCGTTGAAGTTCGCTCTTCCTCCACCGCTGGTGGGCGCCACGCGCCTTCTTCGAGCGTGGAATGCGTCCTGGTCGTCCACCCCGCTCAGTGCCGCATTTTGGCTCTCCGCAGTGGGGCACGCGGTGGAGCGACGCTTGCCTGGCGACGCCGCGCTGCGGCACCTGCTTCTCGACGCCACTGACTGTGGACTGGCGGAGGCGTCAAAGTCGCTTGCCTGCCTCACCGCCTCGCTTGTTGACAGCAGCCCCCAGGAGTGCTGGAGCAATTTCTTTTTGCCGGTGGAGCAGTTCGAGGCGGAGCGCGGCGTGCGGGAACTGATGGACACCGTCCACCTCCTGCCGGTCGCCCAACTGCAATAATTACGACGCGCATGTGCGTGTGTGTTTCTCGCTCCTCCTGCTGACAGTGGCGCCCAGTTGAAGGAATATAAATGTATATGTACGCGGTCATCTCTGGCAGTGATTAAACTCCCTTCCTTCCATCCCTCTCTCCTTTGTTTTGCGCTTGCTCTCTCTCTCTCTCTCTCTGGACAACGACCGCGGCACCAGCAACTAGGAAGAAAACGCAAGCTTGTCTGCGGGCAATTGATTCTGCAAAGAGCAAACACGAAGAAGGTGGAGTAAGGCGCAAAATATGTTGTTTCAGGTTGTGAGTAACATCACGGAGAAGCAGGAGCTTTTCATTGAGGATGAGATGCGGGTGGGTGAGGTGCGTGTGCTGATCGGGCAGATGATTGGCGCCGATGAGGAGACGATCCGTCTCACGTTTCAGGGCCATGTGCTGGAGGACGACACGGCCACGTGGGCGTTGATACTGCAGCTCTATCCGCTCGCCGAGGATGCCCCCCGCAAGCTCTTTGTGCATGTCTCGGAGAGGCTGCGGACGAGCTCGGCGAGCATGACGGCGATGCGGGCGGCGTTAGTGTCTGCCTCCGGCCACGAAAATGAGAAGGACGCACGCGTCCAGGCGAAGATGATGGAGCCCGTCATCGACCTCATGGTGCGGGACCCCTCCACGCTGGAGCTGATGCTCGCCACCAACCCCGGCATGAAGGAGATGCTCGACAAGCACCCCGAGCTGCGGCGCCACCTCTGCGACCCAGAGACGCTGAAGACGCTGATGATGGCGCAGATTGACCCCGACCAGCGGCGCTCGCTGAGTCGCGGCATGGGACTGCAGCTCGCGCAGCTGAGCGCCCTCCCTGGTGGCGAGCAACTTTTTGAACGCATGACGTCGGAATACGTGAATGACATGTCCGAGCTTATGGAGACCCGCGGCCCTAATGCCTCCGACCGCGTCGATGAGGCACAGGCGCGCCCCGACCCAAACAAAGAGGCAAACAGTGAGGCCCTGCCAAATCCCTGGGAACAGCAACCACCCAACGCGGGGAACGCCTTAGGAGCAAACCCAATGGGTCCAAATGTGAGTTATATGCCGAATTTATTTGCTGGCGGCGGGGCTGCTGGGGGCGCGACACCCTTTGCCGGATTGTCTGGTAGTATTCCATCACGGTTGGGCAGCAGTAATCCCTATGCTTCGGCCCCGTTTATTCCTCTGTGGATGACGGCCCCGTCGAACGTAGGAGGGCAGGCACAACCCACTTTTCACACACAAGCGGGAGACGCGTACGGGAGTGCGGCGGAGTGGGCGCCACAATTGGCAGTATTAAAGGAAATGGGGTTCGATAATGAAGCACTTTGTTTAGAGGCCTTGCGTGCGTCTAACGGAGACATAGATGGGGCTGTTAACTATATCGCCGATAAGCATGCGTGAAGCTCAGCCTTTCTGCAGCCCTTCCTCAAAAGCCATTGAACTCCATCCCCTCCAGATAAGCAATAAAAAAAAAAAGAATTATTGGGCTTAGTTTATTGTAGACTAGGCGAGGTGGATGTTCCACTCAATATTGCCGCGGTCGGGTGTATTGCCCGTATGAGCCGTCGTTTCTTGAGTGCACTGTGTTTCATTTTTTGTTACTACCTTGTTAATTGCCGACTTCGTCCGTATGTGTGTGTGCGTTGTAGTTGTTGTTTCTTTTCCCTTTACTGCGGCGGCGGTTGTTTGCCTTTGCGGGTTTAACTCTGATGATGATGATTATGATGTTTGTGTGATAATCCTGCTTCAAGAGCTGGATGTCACTGCCGCGTTATGCAAGCAGCCCTGTGTGCAGGGTCGGTGTTGCTCTACGTATGCATCTGCCCGTGTCTGCCTGTATGTGTGTGTGTGTGTGTGGCGGGTCCTCTCTTTTTCGCCGTGACTCCTCCTCCCCCCCCCCTTGCGCCTCGCAGCATTCTGCCGGGACGCCGAAGCATTTCCCGCCAGTGACGCGTGGGGCACGAGGTCGACCGCAGTTGTAGAAGGCTGCAACTGGCCACTGAGAGAGAGAGAGAGCGAGAGCGACAGACAGTCAGAGATCGAAGCGCAAATTTTGTTTTCTCCGTGTGCGTGTTTTTTTTTTTTGCTTTTGTTTTTCCCTCTCCCTCTGCCTCTCTGTGTATTTGCACCGGAAGCAGGTGGCGGTACGTCTCTGGTCTGAGCAGCATGCGCTTCGTCGCCGCCTTTGCCGCGGGGTTGCTAGGCGCCATGCTGCGCCGTCCCGCGGACGACGCGTGCCCCGCAGAGTGCTACCGCAGCATCGAGAACGCGCTTCAGTTTCGCAACAAGAAACGGGAGGGCGTCGTGTTTTCGCAGCGCTACGAGCCGTACCAGCTCGGCGAGGTGATTCCCATCACACACGACACCGCCCTCTTCCGCTTCCTGCTGCACGCGGACGAGGAGTTCAACCTGAAGCCGTGCTCGACGCTGCAGGCCTGCTACAAGTACGGGGTTCAGCCGATGGAGCAGTGCCACCGCTTCTACACCCCGGTGACGGCCAACCACACGAAAGGCTACTTTGACATCATTGTGAAGCGCAAGCAGGGAGGCCTCATGACAAACCACCTGTTTGGCATGCACGTTGGCGACAAACTGCTCTTTCGCTCCGTGACCTTCAAGGTGCAGTACCGACCGAATAAGTGGGACCACGTGGGCATGATCGCAGGCGGCACTGGCTTTACCCCGATGCTGCAGATTATTCGCCATGGCCTGATGGAGACCTGGAAGGAAGGCGTTGTGGATCACACAAAGCTGTCGTTTTTGTTTTGCAACCGCACCGAGAAGCACATATTACTAAAGGGTCTTTTTGACGATTTGGCGGCACGCTACCCCAAACGGTTTAAGGTGTACTACACAGTAGACCAGCCCGTGGACCCGGACAACTGGCATCACTTTGTCGGCTACGTAACAAAGGAAATGGTCCAGCAAACGATGCCGGCCCCGGAGGAGCAGAAGAAGATCATCATGCTTTGCGGCCCAGACAAGCTGCTGAATCATGTGGCAGGCACACCCATGGGGACAATGAGCGCCATGTCAAGCGGGGTAAACATTCAACCACTTGCGCCAGACCTCAACAACTTGGTTGTGCTCGGTGGTGTCTTGGGTGAACTCGGTTACAAGGACAGTGACGTCTATCGTTTCTAAGCCGCAAGGAAAGGCGGCAACGGCAGCGGCACAAGCGTCGTATATAATATTGGGCTGGTAGAGAAAATGAGCTGGTATTGTCGTGCCGACGCGGTGGATGGTGATGAAGCTGGTGAGGCGGTTGTGTGAAGCGGCGATGGTGTGGCGAATTGCCCTAGACGCAACTTTTCTCCCGGCGGCTCTGTGGACTTTGTGCAGCTGCGGTGCCTCTCTACTTTGCCTCTGTGTGCCTGTGTGCGTGTTCCTTTGGAGGTTTTCTTTTTCTTTCTTTTTTCTTTGTTGTTGTTGTTGTTTTTCCTCTTTTTCTGTCCCTCGCGTCGCGGCGCGCAGACGCAGGCTGAGGGAGGCGACGGGCCGGCAGGAGTGGGCACGGGGAAGGCAGCGCGAGGGAGGAGGCGGCGTCGTTCACCGGGCCACGAGGAGGAAGAGGAGCAGTTGGGTAGAGCACACGCGCAAATGCTGCGCCTGACGCGTTGCAGCCTCACCGGCCGCGCGATGATCTCGCGTGGGAGTCCGGAGTGGTCGCACCGCCTGGATCTTAAGCGGGGGAAAAAGAAGACGCTGCTGCACAAGCTCGGCACCAGCAAACCCAACAACGCCCTGCAGTACGCGCAGATGACGCTGCACGACCTAACAGAGTGGTGCCTGGCGTACTCGCCGTGGCCGCTCACGTTTGGGCTGGCCTGCTGCGCCGTGGAGATGATGCACGCGTACGCGGCGCGGTACGACTTGGATCGCTTTGGCATCGTCCCGCGTCCCACGCCCCGCCAGGCGGAGATCATCATCGTCTCCGGCACCGTGACAAACAAGATGGCGCCCCTGCTGCGCAACATTTACGTGCAAATGGTGAACCCAAAGTGGGTGATCTCCATGGGGAGCTGCGCCAACGGCGGTGGCTACTACCACTTTTCGTACGCCGTGCTGCGTGGGTGCGAGCGGGCCATCCCGGTGGACTTCTGGATCCCCGGCTGCCCGCCGTCGGCGGAGAGTCTCGTCTTTTGCCTACACACGCTGCAGAAGAAGATTCGCTGGCACGAGATACAAAAGTACTCCGTCCGCGGCTGAGGCAGCGGGAGGGGGAAGAGGGGAAGGAGGCGGCGCGGAAAACTTCATCCTCTCCCCGTGAAACCAACAAACAAGCAAAAACAAAGAAGGATAAACAGAAGTTTATTCGGAATTACCGCACACACACACACACACACACGCTGGCAGATGACAAGGGAAAACAAAGAGCTGTAAGGCCGAACGAAAACGAAACAAAAATGTCTGGGAGGACGAAGGAAAATTAAGATAC